CCAAGACTAACGTCCCAAGACCAATGGCCCAAGACCAACGTCCCAAGACTAATGGCCCAAGACCAACGTCCCAAGACTAACGTCCCAAGACCAATGGCCCAAGACCAATGTCCCAAGACTAACGTCCCAAGACCAATGGCCCAAGACTAATGTCCCAAGACTAACGTCCCAAGACCAATGTCCCAAGACCAATGTCCCAAGACCAATGTCCCAAGACCTATGTCCCAAGACTAACGCCCCAAGACCAATGGCCCAAGACCAATGTCCCAAGACTAACGTCCCAAGACCAATGGCCCAAGACTAATGTCCCAAGACTAACGTCCCAAGACCAATGTCCCAAGACCAATGTCCCAAGACCGCTTCGTACCAAGACTGCTCTGGTCCAAGACTGCCCCAAAGTTGCACTGTCCCAAGACTGTGTTGCTCCAAGACTGTCCCCAGACTGCAATGTCCCTAGACTAGTTCGGTACTGTCCCAAGACTCGTTACTGAGTGTCTGGATATAGGATTTCTTTCTTCTTCGTTGTAGGGACTCCTTGGTTGTCTGTACCTTGTACCACCACTCAAGCTCTAGTGAAAATTTTCCCAAAAACCCTCTCTTGGTTGCCAAATCTGGCCCCCCTTTTTTAGTTACCTCTTTTTGAATGTTCCCAGCAATTGGGAGCCACAACTTGTGTGCAGGTATCTTGTGATCACCTGTTTGTATTAAAAAGCAATCGCAAATCTTCCCCAAAACGCAACAATGTCTATAGAAAAAATAAAATTCTGTACCGAAAAAATAACAAAACAGAGTAATCGACCCACCTAAAATTCAAAGGAGACAAATGTCAACCTTCTTTCAAAAAAAATGTCTGGTACCTAATTGCCACGCGTTTTCCTCCCCCCACTAGTCGTCTTATGAGGTGTCACGAAAACTGTCTATATCCGTTCCCCCCTACCGATCCAACCAGCGTACCAATCTTAACTCGAGATAAGTTTTGGATGTCCACCTATTGTTACCACGCGTGTTGATGGCTAATGTAACTAAATCAACGATGTCGATTAACTAGTTACTCTAATTCCCCCCTTTTTACAATTTACAATCGCCAACCTCTAACTTAACCAGTCCCCCTGCTAACCTCCCCCCTGTTTAGCCCCCCTCTTAAGCCGAAAAATCCCTTAAGCGCCGGGTGCTAAACCTCTCTTGAGAAAACCGTAGACCTGTTTCCAGGTCTGCTTGAGTAAAAACTGCCTCAAAACAATGGGACTCCGCTTATCCAATTTTACACTTATTTCTTATAATGTAATGTGGATTCTAACGATACCCGTTGTCCGACCTGAGAACACCCTTGTGCGTCCTCTTGTGGTGGCCCTGTGCTGGTTGTCTCTGTTCTGCCCTTGACAGCAGACCCACTTTCCCACTCGACTGGTCACCTCTTCCAATCAAGTCTCTTGGTGGTCCGTTTCGATCCTTGTGAACCTCTTTCCCACTCGACTGGTCACCCTTTCCAGTCAAGTCTCCTAGTGGTCCGGTTGGGTCGCAATCTATCTAAAAACCCTTAACAACGCCCCCCACTCGGGCACCCTACCAAGGTCACTGCTAGTTGATCGAAAAATTGCTAGATTGATCGAAACGATCGGTCTTGTAAAACAGTATGTGTATACTATTTAATTAATACAAAGGTTCGATCCAACTAATTTGGTATCAAAGTCACTGTCTTTTTTCGTTTTATAGTTTTTGTTCCTATTTGTTTTCCTTATTTGCTCGTGTTTTTGTCCCCCTAGTTGCCCCCCTTTACTCGGTTAGCTAAGCCTCGTTCGGAGAGCGTACCAGGAAGTTTTCTTGAGTTTTCTTAAAAAGCTATCACGGTACAACCGGAAGGTTTACACGTTCCCGCTGAACCGTACCACCGGTACTCTAGAATGGGCATGTAGCCCGGAGCTGTGTCAAGTGGGTTCGACTCCGTAGTCATGATGTCGTAAAAACACCCAGGAGCGCCATAAAAACACTATGTAACAGTCGCCTACTTTAGTCACATATGAGGCTTAAGAAAAATAGGCCCTATAACCATTGGCTCAAGAGTCAGGGACACTATCTCTTGTGTTTTTCCGCCTCAAGAACGGTCGGAGCCAATTCGGTTCGCTTGCGACATGAGACTGGAACCCATTACAGCTTAAAGGCCACTACCAAAATACCCCCCCACTCTAGAAATAGAAACGTCCCCATACTTAGGTCTCGGAATACCCAAAATACATGAACGCCATTAAAAACCGGGTCGGAACCATCCGCTTAGTTACTTTTTATTGGACAGTGGAACTTTGATCCATTTCAGATGGATCAACCTAAAACTCGCCTTATCTCAACATAACTATCATAAAATGCACTCGAGAAATTTAAATTGGAACTTACATATCGACGCACTTGAGTATGAGGAGTGAGTTAAAGATGAGCAGCTTGAGAATTAACTAATATAACTAAATAAGTTTTAAGGCCAATTAGTTTCAATAACGAAAGTAAGTTCTGTCTCAAGAATTGAAGTTTTCGTTTGGACCATTAGGACACTCGAGTAGTCCTCTATTCCGTTGAAGGTCCACACTATTCCATTCGAATAGTGATCCTTCCTCAAGTCAATGTTGTTTTCTCCTGTTTTCGGGATAAGACAGCTCTACTCTCTTGATATTTCGTATCGAGAAATTGCGAACAGCAATTTCCTGCCTTTTTCTTGAGTAGTTTCCCGCTCTTGTTAATTCGGGTGTTCTGATTTCTGACTTTTTCATTTTCAGTTGGTTCGAGAAAACTGAGCATGACATGCTCAATTCGAATTTTGCAAAATTAAAATTTCACTCCAAAATTGCGTATTTCTCAAGGTCAAACCCCCAGACATGACCGACTGGCACAGAGGCCAAATTAAGTCTGTCTGTCTGTATACCTCCTTTTAAATTAATTTGATTGTCTGTCTACCTGTCGCCTAATTTTTAAAATTATATCTATTATCTATTAAGTATTTAAGTGCGGGCTTCACTATCTTGCCATGATTAAATTTTATCAAAGTATTAGTTTTGCATGTTTAACAAATTAATTTTTTCACGTTTTGGTTAAGGTTTTTTTTCGGTTTTCCAGTTTAAGTTCAGTGTTTATTCCATCAAGTTTGAAAATAGCAATCCAATAGTAGAATATTGTCAGAGTTTTTCCCAAGTTTTGCGATTCTGGCCTCCATAAATAATAACCAAATCCTTTTAGTTAAACGAGATAGGCAATTTTCGAGGTTTTTCAAAAAATTTCTTGAAAATTTAATTTTAAAAAATTTATCAATTTTTGAAATTCTCACCCTGTAGTTGGGTGTTGTCAGGGTACTCTCTGGAGTTGCAAATCTTGCCTCAAATTTTCACTTCTCAAATCCCTGTAGTTTTCGAGATATGACGTTTTTTTTCGGATTTTTCCAAAATTTTTCAGAAAAATTAGACATAAAAAATTTCACAAAACTTGAAAGTACCATCTCTGTTGCGAGACTCTGTCAGTGTACTCTCAGGAAATGCGAATTTTGCCGCCAAATATGACTGCTCAAATCCTTGTAGTTTTCGAGATATGACGTTTTTTATGATTTTCTCCGAAATTTTCAAAAAAAAACTCAAATGATAAAAAGTTCCAAAACTTTGATGATATCAATCCTGCTGTCATTAGAACCTTTGAGGGTAGTCTCAGGGGGTTGCGAAACTTGCCTCTCAATTGGACTGCTCAGAATCTTGCAGTTTTCCAGATATGACGTTTTTTGTGATTTTTTCAAAAAAGTTTTCATGAAAATTAAATTTTTTTTTCAAAATTTGAAATTCCTAACCTGTAGTTGGGGGGCTGTCAGAGTAATCTCAGGAATTGTAAATTCGGCCTCAAATCAAGAATGTCCAAATCATTTCTGTTAAGGAGAAAAGACAATTTTTTGTGATTTTTTTTGGAATTTTTCTGAAAAATCAAATTACAAAATGATTTAGTGAAATTCCCAACCCTGTAGTTGTGTACTTTCAAAGATTGCGAGTGTTGCCATAAAAAAACTGCTCCAATTCTGGCAGTTTTTGAAATGTAAATTTTTTCTGGTTTATAAAAAGTAATTCTTTTAGGCAACTTAAGGTGAAGTTCCTCAAAATTTGAATTTTCCAACGTTGTAGTTGGGTATTGTGAGGGTACTCTCAGGAGTTGCAAATCTTGCGTCCAAATGCAACTGCTCAATTGCTTTCAATTTCCCAGATGTGACGTTTCTTAATTCATTATAAACTTAGATATTAAAAAAAAATGTCACAAATTTTTTATGGTTTTTCAAAATTTGGATTAAAAAATCGAATGAAAAATTTTACAAAATTTGAAGTTATTCTCAGGAGTTGCAAATCTTGCGTCCAAATGCGACTGCTGAATTGCTTTCAATTTCCCAGATGTGACGTTACTTAGTTCATTTTAAATTTTTTGAAGAAATTATATAAAACTTCACAAAGTTTTATGGTTCTTCAAAATTTGTATAAAAAACTTGAATGAAAAACTTTGCAAAATTTTTAATTACGAACCCTGTAATTGGGTGCTGTCAGAGTACACTCAAAGAATAGTTTTTTGAGTTGTTGAAAATTCGAAGAACTGGAGGTGCGGTACACGTTTGTTATGCATGAATTGACTAATTTCATTAAGTTTTTTTGATTACATTTTTTAAAATTCTTGATTAAATTACTTGATTAAATTATACATAATATATTCATTGCTTTGGTGTTATTGACATTTCTGATAGTTAATTCACAGATAAGCTAATGAAAGCTGATGTTTTTCTGTTTTCTGCTCTTGGACCCATTCTGCTCTTAGACCATTCTGCTTAATGACTGGCCGCCATAAAGGCGGGAGTCTAATGATCAGAAACATTTAACCAATTAACTCGAAAGAATTTTTTGGCGCATCGAAATTTTGCTTTAGCGTTTTCAATGTCACCCAGTACGTTTTAATGTCACCCAGTATTTTTGCTACAGCTAAGATTTAACTGTTATTAGTCCTTCAGAGTAGATGTTAGACCTGTAAAACAGAAATGCGGAGATTTTAGGCTGAATCTTTTCGGTACGGTCAGAGAACGAGTATGGAAAACATCGAATCAGATTACGGAATGTTCGATTCGCCCATAAAAACGCCCAGTTCAAACGAATCTCAACATGAACTGGATCAGCGCCGTTCATTTCAATCCACGGAGGATCTTCATGATCGAGGAGGTGGTCTGCCCAACAATTTTGGTGGCCTCAATTCGATGCTGGGTTCTGAAACTATTTTCTCGACAAATTCTTTGGATGGTCTTGATCTCACTGACACAAATTCATTGGGCTTTGGAATCAGTAACAGTCGGCCAGGATCATCGATGAGGTCCAGGTTTCATTCCAATGATAGTGTGACGTCATGGGCTACAGAAATTAGAAGCGCATTGCATCAACTTGTCACGTTAGTCTGCTAAAAGATTTTTCTGCGCAATGGTCTTAGAGCAATTGTACTTTTTGGTTAAGACGTCATGCCCAACAGATGTGAAAGTTAAGACAGCGGCGTCAGAAATAGATGAGAAAAATATCCGAAAATAATAATGAGTCTTGTTAAAATCTTTGTCTACTCGTCTTTTAAAATCTACACTGACCTGAGATGACCAGTGTTCATTCATTTAGAAATCAAAATCTGTCTGGCGAGAATGGCGACGTGTTTGCTCTTACGAGTGCCATTGTGGGGGCTCTAGAATGTTTGCAAATGCAGCAGAGTCAGTTAGAGGAATCTAAGGCCGAACAGAAGACTCTCTTGAATCAGCTGGGAAGAGAAAAAAATTCACGCGAGGAGTTTGAATTGGTAAATAAAACTGAAAGTTCACTCACGGAGGTAGTCACAAAACCTTTCCATGGTTTCTCTTGTTTCCCTCCAAGAAAGACTTGATGCAGATACAGGAGGCTATGCAAAACGATATTGGACCTCTTTTCAGTTAAAGCTAAATTAAAGAATTAATTAATTGAAAATAAGTTGATGGTTCTAAAAAGACGTTGACGATCTCATTGAGACTTGCTGTACAGTTCTTCAAACTTTCCTTATCTTATAAATAAAAACGATTTAACTGTCGCTGTAGAGTTAATTTTGTTAAACTGGTTGAAAATAAGAACAAGGATATGATATTGTTTTTTTTTGTTCCGAGATGGCGAGAAAAAAAACTTCCAAAAAAATCTATCTATCTCTCTATCTATTGCGAGCTTCGCCATGCTCAAATGCGGGGCTTCTCCATGTTAAAGTTTTTCAAACTGTTATTTTTGCATGTTTAAGAACGCAATGCTTAGGAAATTTTTTTGATTTTCTGCAGCTTGAATTCAGTGTTTTTTTTCGTCAAGTTTTTGTTTACTCAAACCCAATAGTGGGATGCTGTCAGTATTAGACTAGGCGTTGTTACAAATTGGGCCTCCAAATACCCATTTTTTTTAGCTTACGAGATACGAAGATACTTGTGATTGTTTAGAAAATTTTCATAAAACTGCGAATTAAAAGTTTCCACAAAAATCGAAATTCTCAACCCTGTAGTTGGGTGCAGTCAGAGTACTTTCAGGCGTTGCAACTTGTGGCTCCAATTATGACTGCTCAAATCTTTTTAATTTCCGAGATATGACAGTTTTTAAGATTTTTTTCCAAAAAACTTTTAAGAAATTGTATATTAAAACTTGACAAAAGAAAAGTTGGAAATTCTCAACCCTAAAAGTGTGTGCTGTAAGAGTACTATCAGTAGTTTCAAATTTTGCCTCAAAATATGACTGCTCAAATCCTTTTAGTTTTCGAGATATGACGTTTGTTAAAGATTTTTTCAATTATTTTCAAATAACTTAAATAAACTTAATAAAAATTAAAATTATCAACTCAATAATGTGAAGTGCTGTCAGGGTACTATCAGGCGTTGTAAATCTCGCCTTGCATCCAAATATTACTGCTTAAATTGTTTTTTGTTTCAAGATATGACATTTTAATGATTTTTTCAGAAATTTTGAGAAAATTTAGATTCGAAAAATTCCACTAAGTTTGAAATTGCTAACCCTAAAGTAGGGTGCTGTCGAGGTACTCTCAGGTGTACCAAATCTTGTCTCAAAATATGGCTGCTCAAATCCTTTTAGTTTTCTAGATTTGTTTCCAATAACAGATGTCAAAAGAAATCTTAAAAGTCAAAAGCGATAATGGATTAACCCCTCTTTTTTACTGCTGCAATCATTTCGCAGTTTTTTAAATATATTTTATGTATAAGCAACTCCCATGTTCACTTATCTGTTTGAAGCACCGGAGGTGCTTTACATGCTAAGTTTTACTGGGAAAAAAACGAAACATTCATGGCTTATCCCTCTATAATAAGCTTGCTCGCTTGCTTTACTCGCTCAAAATTAGATTGAAACTAAAGTTCAAACGGGTTTTTCTCGACACTGGGACTTTTTTACGCTTGCGATTAGCGAGCGCTATCAAATCAGAATATTTTTTCGGGTTACCAACTAGTTTAACAGAATCACTTTAATCATCTTTCCTTGGCTTCACATCAAATCAAAATTCAGACGTGAATGCGCGCATTTGGCGATGAGGTAATGCGACTGCATACCAACACCAAGGTTAATGGTTCAAATCCGGGCAGTAGCTGTTTTTATAAACGAAAAATTGTCTGGGAGTCAAAAAACGTTTGCCGGGCTTCTGTTTGTAAGTTGTTTTTATAAATTCAAGGAGTGTTCTATACATTTCTTGCTTGTGCCTGTTTTTCTTGTGGGAACTGAAAGTTTTCGACACTTCTAGACGTTCGTGCCTGCTTGTTTTGTCGGCTTAAGTCACGCAGAAAAGAGTGTTTTTTTTTTAGCTTTTTGATAATTCTTTGTAAAGTTTCTAATGGTGCAGGTAATTTTGTTCCCGGAACTTTTCATCCTTGTTTGCAATTTTTTAATTTGTCAAAAAACGATTTTTTGAAGGCTTTTTTTCAATTTTCGATTTGTCTTGTCCTTTGCTTGTAATCATTGCCATTCATTTCTGTATCGCAAGTGGTGCGAAGCTCAGCTTCGCCTCTGTTGAAAATTTTTAATGTCGTCGGAATCAGGGCTGAAAGGGTTTTAATATGATAAATCACTCAATTTTTTTCGATGATTATTTGTGTACCTGATTTTGCATGGAAAACAAGAGATAACACTGAAACACACCCTAATATAAAGTTCTTCCGCGTTTCCAACGGTCGGAACAATGATCAATATTTGTGATTGCTTTTGTTCAGCATTTTTGAAGAAGGCAATTTGAAAAGGGCAACGAGCACGCGCCTGCTTTCCTTGCTAAGTGGCCTCAAACTCTCTGATTTCAATACCACTTCAATTGCATGTGTTGTGTTGTTTCAGAGGTCGGCCGTGTTGGAAGATGAGATCGAGGAGATGAAGCGCAAACAGCGGGAGGTGGGAGAAAAGGCGAGGAACGACAAGAGGAAGTTGGACTTGGAACTAATCAACTTCAAAGACACAGGTGTGTGAAGGGACTAAATCAGCTTCTGAAAACAATATGAGAGGAAATTTGTTAAAACAGGGAACATGGCTCTTCCCGAAATCGATCCCATCACCAAAAGAAGCCTGATTTAACAAAAGCACTTTTCGCACGAATTTATACCTTTTTGAGAATTTCGCTTAACCTTCAAAAAGTGCCCAAAGTTACTCGAAGTCTTCAAAATTGGTAGTTTTTCACAGTTTCTCAAACCAAAATGTTTTAGTTCTTCAGGAGAATTTTAAAAAAATCAAGGTTGTGCTGAAAATTGAAACTGCGCCTACTTCTTACTGGTTTGATTATTACGCTTGCAATTAGCAAGCGTTATCAAATCAGAACAAGGATAGCCGGTTACTGTGCAAGTAGCATAGAATGTTCCAACCAATGTCTTTAGAAAACTACGGTTCAGAAAGTTTTTTTTTCCAATTGAGTAGTTTTTTCGGGTTTTTGAAGTTCTTGGGTTTTTTGAAGTTTTGGGTTCCCAAAATGGAGCTAAAAAAAACTCCAACTAGTTTTACTTGCTTAAAATTAAGTTTTAGCGTCTTAAATTAGGCATGATCCAGCCGTTGAGCTGTGGTAAGCCTGCTCGCTTGCTTTTTTTGCTCGAATTATGACGAAAAATCAAAAATTTCAAACCGATTTTTTCGACACAGAAAATTTTTAATGTGGTTCAAATCACGACTGAAAGGGCTTTAATATGATACATCCTTCAACCCAGTTCGATAATTATTTGTGAGACCTGATGTTGCGTGGAAAGCTAAAACAGACCCGAATACAAAATTCCTCCCCATTTTTCAAATGGTCGGAACAATAAAGAATTTTTTCCGGAAAAACAATTAGTTTCTCCAGTGTCTATCAAAATCGCAGCATTTCTTTTTTGTGGTGAACAAAAGTTCTAACAGAATCACTGAATCATTTGTAGATACTGTCAACTAACTGAAATGTTTTGAGGCGGGCTGTTAGTTTAAGTATGTTAGCTTATGCTGGCTGTTTGTTTAAGTATAGGTTAGAAGTTTGTATTAAGAATCGATCGCTGAACTAATTCAGACTCTTTTATAGGTTGCGATTATTTTTTTAAATTTCTTTTTTCAGGAAAAGTCTTGAAATTTGTTCAGGCTCAAAATTACTTTTTCGCGGTTTGTCTTTTGATTTCTTTCAAATTTAAGTTAATTTATTTTTAAAAAAGGAAGGCAAACTCCACTATCGAACCGCGAAAGTTAAAGGTCGCGAAAAACGTGACTTACTTCTAGCTTCGAAAGTGGAATTTAATATTCAGATATCGCAGTGAAATAAAAATTTTCCAGTTTTTTTTAATTGGGTTAATTTTATCAACGAAGTGTCTATCATTTCTGGAATTTTTCTAGAAGTTCAAAGAGCTTTAAATGCGTCTATTTTTTCTTTGAAATTGGGAAGTTGAAAGGTTTCTTCAGCTTAGAGGTTTCGGGTTACGTCGCAGCGACTTAAATGCCTCCTATTGCGCAGTTTCAAGAACGAAAATTTTCTCGTGTGTGCATGTGCTTTGGGTGGGCCAACTTGAAAAAATTAGAATGTTCTGATGACTTAAATTTTTCTTAAGACATTTTTTGTTCTAATAAGCGTCCGCCCAAGTATTATCGGCTGAGCTACCGAGTCATAAATTTCAATGTAAAGCCAATGAACACTGTCTAATGTCTTTCTTGAAAGGCTTGCTTCAAAATGAACTTCATTCTAGGCAAACCTATGAAAATGGTTGTAGGTTTCTGAAACATTTTTCGATTAAGTGGCTCTCGTCCATTTATTGTCGGCTAGCTTGCCATGCTATGTTTGTGATGTATGTTCGCATCTGTGTATGCGTTGATTTAGTCTTGAGTGACTCTGTCTGAAGTTGGTTGTTTCAGTTTCTCGGCTGGAGAGTCAGAAGAAGGAAGTTGAGAAGGAAGTGGATGGTTGGAGGGAGCGATACACCAAAGTTAGTTCTCCTCAATTCAACATTCATTCCCAATACCCCTTTTGTTTTTCTGTCCAAATTTTACGAGTTTTTTTTGCCTAAGCCGAATAACGCTTCTTATGGACTATACTTTCCTAAATTTTTGAAAAATAACATTTTACAGATGAAGAACAGTTTTGTGGTTCTTGTAAAATTTTAATTTCGTCCTGAAGTCCCTTCGGCTTAAATCCCGTCGGTCTGTTGTCCTAGACCCGACTATCATGCATTTTTCTTTTCTGAACTACTAATTTTGTTAGTTTTTCAGGTGTTGCTTTAAAATGAAATGTAATTTTATTCATGGAAACTTTTAACGTTTGCGACTAAGTTGAGATCAACCCAACCACAAATTTGCGATGTGTTGCTATTAAAATGCTCAATTGTGTTTGACTTAAAAATCCAACATAGAACAGGGTTATCATCTTATCATCCTCCGGCCTAAACCGTTTTCACCTAAGACGTCTATTTGATGCCTTCATTCTAGAATGAAATGAGTTAGTATTGCAATGCAACTGCTGTATAATAACTGATTTGTAATATTAAAGTATGTTTTGTGGTCCTTTTGTGTGGGGGAGTTTGATGCCTTATGTCATGTCCCTTTGCCTGTTCAGTCGATGCAGAGATACATGGATGACCTGAACAGACTGAAGACGCAGCAGAACATGGAGCGAGAGAGCGTGGCTGAACGAGACATGAACATGTTAGTAGTGCAGCCAACTTCATTCATTATAACTTCAGTTAGTTATCATTTATTTACAAACATAAACACCATTCATCATTTCTAGTTGAAACGATACAGATTTGTATAAGCAGTGTATATAAATCTATATCGGTGTAGCTTAAATGATGGATGGTGTTTATGTTTATTATGATGTCTAAATTAGTTCATGTATCATCTTCTGGTTCCCAACGCTCGTATCATGTTTAATTGTTCATATCATGTTGCTGACGTCATCACGACCAGATGAAAAAGCATGATTATGAGGATGTGATCCATATCATGCGCTTTTTTGCCTCAGCTGAATACATGGTTGCTGCGGTTATAAAGTTCTGTCAACTTGCAAAGCTTAATAAGTTCTATTCTTTCCTGTTTTAGGATGAAGAAAATCAGAGGTCGTATAGCAGATGGTAGCAAAGGACCCTATGACTCATACGAAGCTAATTTTGTGCTGGGCAATCAGTACGACGAAGACGAGGATTTGAGCTCGAGTGCGGGAATGGTGAAGAGTTTCAGAATGAATTCAGAGTCGAATAGCCAGCTGAATGATATTCGTGGATCAGTGATAAGTATCAATTCCGTAACCAGTGAAGTGTTCAAAGAAGGAGCCACCATGAGGATGCAATATGGAGATGATGGGGGGGCTGAGCTGGGCGGAGGAGAGTCCAATGAAAACGACGGTACTTCTACTCCCTGTTTTGGAGACAACTCTGGTAAGCATGATGGCTGTAAATATTTGAAGTTTGTTTTAGGCGCTAATTTTAAAAAATGTCGTTTTGGTTTACTATTTTAGAGAAATTTTTAGAAAAAAATTTGTTTACATATTTTTTCGTCATAACTATCAACTAACTGGCAAAACTCAATTTCGATGAGCTTTCAGAGTTCTCGTGTTTTCGGACTTAGAAGTTGATCGGACCATAAAACTAACACGGTCCCTATCTAAATGTATGCTTCTAAAATGTTTTTTTTTGCTTCGGTGAAGGTAAAGCATCAAATAAATTAGGGCAATTGAGGCAGGTTATTTATTTTTGAGAAAAAAGTCTCGAAAACGATGAAGAGGCGTCCATTGATTTATTTAATTGCTAAATTTGCTCAGAGGTAGCGAGATTTTGATCCCTCTGTCACACTTGTACCAGTGTTTTGAGCATTTTCATAAGATTTTTAAAGATATGCATTGTCTGGCTTTTTTCGCTCTTTTAATTTATTAATAATTCGTGAAATGGTTTTAACCATGCTGTATGTTATGTTCTTTTTTGATTCTTTTTCAATAGTGATCTTTGAATTGCTAAATTTGAGAAACTGTTTAAATTTCCACAGCGTAAGCGTCCGTGACCATAAACCAAATACTCTCCATAATTTGCCGATGTGACCGAGAGTAAAATCAGTGGTGTGCGCAACAAGGTTTCTAGGGGGGAGGAAAACAATTGTGGACCTTTTATGCAGGTTGGCCAATTTAATTTCAACAATGAATACAGAAATTTAAAAAAGTGCAATTCTGATTGCTTAAAAAAAATAAGACTTCAAAATTGAGTTTGAGCAACCATTGAGTTACTAAATGATGCCATATTGTTTTGCTTGTATATTTTTGAGTCTTTCCTTTTCATTTTACCGTCCAAATTTGGTCTAGCGGGAGTCTTTTTAACCTAACTAGATGTAGATATAACGATATAAAGGAATGAATATAACGATATAAAGATTTGATGTTAACTAAAGTCAGCACAGCATGCTAATTCCTGCCGGTTGTATTGTCAACAAAGGCTCTAATCTGAGCAAACAAGTCGAGTTGAAGCACAGCGTCTTTAATATAGAAACAAATGCAGCAATAAACATTGAAAAGTTGACGTTTTAAGCAACATATGAACATAAATTAGTTCATATGTTTTCAAGGGACTTTTTTTATTTGAAAAAGTAATAGCTATTTGATCATTCAAATTAGCACAGGAGCAATATGTCGGAAACTGTTTGAGCTAAAAACAGAAAAGAGTGAATGAGGAAACAGTAATATAATTCTGGTGGCTGTAATGCAAGTTAGCAATTGCTACTTACGCGAAGTAATCATTTTTCATCTGAGTTGTTGTATCTGTTAGGTTGAACATACTTACCTGGCGCCGACCGTCCTCTGATCAAGCAGAGAGGTGGTCCAGGGCGAGGCCTCTGCATTGCACTGCGCGGAGGTTGACCCTTGCGATTTCTCCAAGTGAGAAACTCGGACGCACAATTTATTAGTGTAGGGACTGCGTACGCGCTATCCCTGATAATCATGAACTGATTGTTTCGATCTTAACACTTGACCTGTGAGTTTTTACTAGCATGATTGTTTTGCAGGAACCCCTCAACGTCAACACTCGCCACCACCACAGCGCTTCAAAAAGACTTCAATTTTCCAATCAGAGGTGAAGCAAGCCACTAGTCCTGCTTACAATGATGGCGGGGGAAGACCGACTAGTATGGATCTGTCAATGACAGTCTCAATGAACGATGTGAACCGAGTGAGTGTTGACCAATCACTCAGTGGCGACGACAGAGAACGCACTGTGTCGGTGCAGTCCTTCGAGGCTAACAACGAGCCTCTGTTCCATGAGTTCCAGAATATGAATCAGAACTTGACGCCATCTGCCGCCCATTCCTCCTCCTCCCAAGATATTCTGTGTGAGTCTATCTGGCTTTGACTGGTTGTGAGTCTAACTATCTGGCATCTCATCTCTTCAACGGTCCCCCCACTCACCCACCCCCTCTAATGGAAAGGAAAAATTAATTACTAGGTTCAATCGTCGAGTGTGCTTAACAGTTGATTTTATCCTCGATTAAGAATCATTACTAGGTGCCATGGGTTAGACCATTGAAGAAGTCACCTAGACAAGCAGAGACTGTGTTTAACAAGATGATTCTGTAATCTTTTTTGAGCATGAAAGCTTGTTCACTGTCTCCTGAAGTCTTTACAACATATCAGTTTATTTTCGGGTATATAGCATGGAATGATTTTAAAGCCTTTCATGTTTGTTTTTGCTTTCAAAACCCTGTGTACGTGTAAATTGTATCGTACAAAAAATATTTGAGCTGTCGTAAATTGAGTTGGACCCAATGCTTGATTTATAGCTGGAGGCATGCATCTTTTTGTTTCTGATATATTGGTGCAATTTGATAGGCAGCGCGGCAGCTTCTAACTGGTCGTCTCGCCACGACATGAATTCTATTAAGTTCAACGACATGATTAACGACGGCAATCTTGACGAAAGCTTTGAAAACTGGAATTACGAAGAGGACGAAAACGAAAATGCATTGCAGAGGGCTCAGAAAGATGTGCTCGCATTTCAAGCACAGGGCTCGAATGTGAGTCATGCCTCCAGATTGCATCCGAAGTTTCTGGAGGACCAGGCGGCGGCTGAAAAGGTCGAAGACAGCGGGGGGCAATCGGGGTCAAATTTAGTGCCTTTGCAGCTACAGGGTAGGGTTGCAATGTTAGCTGTTGCTGTGGTCTTGTTGTGTCTTAAGTGTGGACCTCAAACGAACACCCTCTCATCTTTTCCCCTTTCTTAATCATAGTGTTTCATAAAACTGCAAATGTTTCTTCTTTCTTCCTTTCTCTCTCTTTCTCGCTAGTTTGTGTGAATCTGTGGCAGGTAGGATAAAAAACGTTTTGAGATGTCGGGGTTATGGTTTCTCTTCTATCTAACTTTCGGTTTTCAACTCTTTATTTTTGAGTGTTTCTTGTTTCTCGGACCAAATTGTCTTTCTTGGTTTCTCTTTTCGAACTAATTAGCTCAATATTTCTGACTGAAAATGCCTCTCCTCTCGCTTGTCTCCAAACTGTAATTGACATGTCATTTTTCCCTTATTAATTTTGGGATTTACTTTCAGGCATGAACGAGGAAGTTCAGCAGCTTCTGGAGGAAAATTCAAGACTACAAGAGACTAAGTCAGTTAATCCTGTTTTCCCCCTCAGATAGAGCAGCGGAACTCAAATTGAATAATATTGTTTTTTAAGGAATGCCCTGAACATCGTTAAGGATGACCTGATTGCCAAAGTAGATCAGCTTACTAAGTAAGTTCCATTTCGTTTCCACGTCAGAGTCTGTTCGTCTGTTTGTAATAATTATTTTAATTCGTCTTGTGTAGTGAGCAGGAGTTTATGAAAGAGGAAGCAGAGTCGCTGTTGAAGGCACGTGACGAGCTACAGGAGCGTCTAAGACACATGGATGCAGAAGCTAAGAGGTCAGATCAATACAAACCCCATAAACTGATTCGAAACACTGTCGTTGGTTGAAGAAATTGTTTTTTTTTTAACTGTTACATAATCATATAAAGAGTTTTTACTGCATACAAATAGCTAACACAGCAAGAGGATTAGCAATCATAGCGGTTTCTGTGTACCAACTTTTCTTGAGTTAAGTGAAATAGTTGCAAGTTTTGTATTTTTGCACGCGTTCAGTAGTTATCAAATTGGGCACTACACTGTTTTTCCGGTTAACAAACTGTAAAAGGCAAACGATGTCTTGATAAATTTTTTTGTAAAAGTTTGATGGAACAGTTAACTCTAATTTTTTTTCGGCTCTAAAGGCCTGCGCCCAAATGGATTATTAGTTCGGCTTACATGCAGCTTCATTACACTAGCTTGTGAGCGTTGGTGTATTATTACCAAGCTTCTTTTTTTCTAAACTAACTCGCAAATAGAAGTGTTGATTAAAAGTGTTAGCTTATTTGGTGGCACTTTTGCTATAATCACGATCTGCAGCATTGGAAATTTCATTGCATCTGTTTTCTGCTTCATTTAAGGCTAGTTTTTGCGGTTAATTAAGCGTCTGTGGCTGAGTGGTTATTGTATGAGACTCATATTTTCTAGGTCGATGTAGGTCGCAGATTTAATCTGAGACCCACCCGAATTCTTTATAATTCGAGGCTTATTTCTACTTTTGCTAGTTTGCACTTTATAGAGCTGATTTTGGTCATGTTCTTGTTATTCTTTGCTGTGTAAACTTTGTACTCACTAAATTTAGCGCTGAGGGTTTTTTTTAAAGTTTTTTAGTTTTTTTTCTGGCTCAACGGGTGTCTGCTCAATAGTTGTCGGCTTTAGTACCGCTTTGTTTTTATGCAAAAGCCACTTTCAATTTTTTCATTTGTCATGTTTTTAAACGAATTCTGTACACGAAAAAAGTTATGAACGTTTTGGTAGATATTTTCTCGTCATTTTCAAAAAAATTTCGACTGCGGCTTTAGCCTCAATTTCTGTCTGCTAGTTTGTCATGCTATGCTTGTGTGGTATCGCAAATGGTGCGAAGCTCTGCCTAGCCTCTGTGAGTTATTTTTGGCTTAAAAGTGAAATTTCTTTGAAGCAAAAAATCTGTATCTACAGTAAAATAACACGTGACGTGACGACACAATGGCTTACTGGCAGAACGATTTTTGTTTGAAGTTTTCATTACTTCTCTATCCTATAAGCCTTGAGTGTTCCGCAGAAAATAGAGGTTTGTTTGCAGATTCGAGTCCTTAATTTTATAAGTAAATTCTTAACATTATGTTTATGTTAAAAATGAAAAACCTAATTTTAAAAATGAAAACCGTTTGTAATTTGAAAGCAGTATGAGTTTTTGCAAAGGTTGAACTTGGAGCTTGAGAAGACAGCACGTGAGTCGGAGCGAACTGGTAGTGCTGCTTCAGTTTCATTGGCTGACGAAATGAACTCGAGTGTGAACATATCAAACGAGAAAAAGTTCACGAGACGAGAAGTGTCCACTCTTTTGATGGAGAGAAACATGTACAAAGAGAGGTAGTGTATCCTTTAATAGCAATTTCAAGGTCATTCCAGTAATGATTATGTGTAGCCCTGATCAATGAGCTCAGATGATGGTTCAAAGGGGTCTAGGACAACAAGCCGACGGGACTTCAAGCCGAAGGGACTTCAGGCCGAAATTTAAACTTTACATGCACCGCAAATTACTTTTTTTAAATCTGTAAAACGTTGCTTTGAAAAATTTTAGGCAAGTTAAGACCAGAATAAGCGTTATTCATGTCATAAATCACTTAGGATTGGCATCCGTTAAGAATATCAGCCGGTTTTGAAATGCATAAATTATAAACAAGAAAATTACCTTCAACTGTGTTGTATTTTTCAACTTTCCTAAACACCATTTGGAGGCTTAAATTTCATGAAAACGCCAATAACTACTGAAGAAAGATCACGAAATTGAGTAATTATTCAAAAACGTTTCCAAATAAATCATATTTCATGACTTGATGAGAAAACTTTCGGCTTGAAGTCCCTTATTTTACGATTCGGCTTGAAGTCCCGTCGGCTTGATGTCCGGCACCCGTTTCAAAGATGCTATATTGGTGCTTTTACGCGAGAATGAACGGTCCGTGTGTTTAGCGACTTGCATGCGTGCCGCTTAGCATGCGGAATTTAGATTATTACTCACTTTGATGCGGCACGCATCGGTTTGAGTTTTAGTTGCATTTGTGACGAAACAATCTCAAATCTAATTGGGCTAATCGCCACATGCTAAGCGACACGCATGCTAGTAGGGCTGTCCCCAATTGTTCCTATATAATTGTACGGCACTGTTTATTACTTGCTAGGTATCTGGAACTGCAGGAGACAGTGAGATGGATGGGCATGATGCAAGCAGAGAGATCCAAACACCCAGACCTGAACGGAACAACCGCCGGGGGAGCATTCAACTCTGCAGCAGACCAGAGGAAGGTGCCGAACTCCGGAGGCATCTGGAAGCTGTTAGTTCAAGATGAAACTTATAGTCAAATGAATGAATTGAGATCAGTAAAAGTTTTAACCCAAACTTCATGAATAAGCACCATTTGCAAAAAAAAACTGTTTGGAATTATCAATGCAGTGTAATTTTGAAAACCTTTTCTACAGTTTGCTTCTAAAAGTGACAGTAATCCTCAGCTCGAATATTTAAACTTGACCCGTTAGTGATGCCTTGTGTTGTTGTTGACTGGGATTGAACTTCTTCACTTATTATAGTACACATTCATCACAGTCTTCAGTCAAAATTTGTCACTTTGGCTCAAGTTAAGAAATCTCGTTTAAGTGTGTGAAATGATTTCAATTTGAGTTTGTTTTCAGCTTTTCGGGAATATTCGGCAGCTCCTCTTCGGGCCAGAACACGCCAGCCCCTACAAAGAAGCTATCCACTGCAGGAGTGTCTGCTCTCAAGTTTGACGACAGCGCTCCTACAGTCTTTACTGCTGTGAGAGCTACGAGGTCAAAGAGCACGGCCAACAAGTAATTAACCTCATTACTCTCTGTACAAAATTTATCTTTCTAAAGGAAAGGCGCAGTACAATGGCGTAGGGTGGATTTGTTTACAGTCAAGCTTGGCACGTAAAAAAACGCACAGGTGTCAAGTTCTTGAAGAGTTTTGCTTTGCAATGATAATTTTTGAAACACGCTGTGCTACTTGCGCAGCAGCCGGCTACTCCTGGTAATGTTAACTCAAGGGAGCTGGCGAGAATTGTGTTATTTCACGAGTTCACATTTTTTGCCGTCCAACTAGCATAAATAGTGCTCATTTTGGTGGCACTTTTGCTGTATAACGTTGACTGTTTAATAGCATGTGTTTTTCCGCCTTATTGGTGACTGGTCTTTTGAATAATTCAAGAGAATTTAACGCAGATGCGAGGAAGTGACTCCCCATATAAAATTGCGGGTCTGATTCCGGCACATGGCTATGGTTTTTTTACCCGTGATCTTTTTTCGTAAAGTTATTAGGGTTTAAAGATTGCCATTTTGACCAATTTGGGACAATTAACAATTTTCAAATTTTAGAAATATTCTGGAAATCCAATTAATAGTTTTTGAAGGTTATTACAATACAATGCTTGTGTTATGAAATATTTGGAGTCCCTGAGATCATAACTACAGCAATATTTTTCAATACTGTATTTTGAAATTAATGAATTTTTATTTGTCTTTTCCGTATAGTTTCAAAGGCGGAAATGGCAAGTTATAAACTAGGCTTGTTTGTATCATCCAAATATTGAAATTGATTGGAGTTATTGTTCCGACTTTCGATACGAAAGTAACGGAATATTTGTGCTCGGGGTAAGTTTTTTTTCTTCAGACAAATGTCGACTTTTTAACTAGCCATTTTTGACGGAATTTTTTTTTATCATTCGAAAGCCATTGTTGTCTTGAACTTAAATTTGAAAAGATATTTCACCTGTGATCATTTTTCGTAAAGTTATGAGCGTTTAAAGATTGCCATTTTGACCAATTTGGGACAATTAACGCGCGATATAATTCGCGCTATTAACGCGTAAGCGGAGATTTAATCCGTCTTATAAATTGTTCCAAATCGGTTGAACGAAGCTTATATTGGCCATAATTGATTTTTTACAAGGAACGAAATCTCTCTTTTTGTACTTTATATGGCGTGTGGGGGATGATTTTCATAAAAAATTTCAAATTTTGGAAAAAAAAAATTTCATTTTATTTTATTTCATTTAATTTTTTATGTTATTACTGCTGCTCCATAAACCTTAAAAGGCAGTCGGAACATTCAGGGCTTCGCCCTGATTCGAGCAGTCTTGTTATTATATATGACAATGAACAAAGCGAAGACACTTCATTAGGTCATGTAGCTTTTGAAGTGTCAGTAAATGGAGTAAAAGAACTTGCGAAGGTGTGGTTTTTAGTTTTTTGCAAAGGTTTGATTTTTTTTGCTTGAAATTAGATCTCTTTTCTGTCAATTCAGTTTTATTTGCTAAAAAATAGTGAAATACACTCTTCAATTATGAAAGTGCAAAGGCTGCCAAAAATGTGAATGAATTTAGGTTTGTAACTAGTGTTCAATTGTTTTTCACTCTTTGACTTTTGATTTTTTTTCAAGTTCAGTTCTTTTCGTTACTTAGAAGGAAGCCAAACTCCACTTTCGAACAGCAAACTCCAACATCGAACAGCAGGTCATCAAAAACGTGATTGACTTCTAGTTTCGAAAGTGGAATTTAATGTTGATTTTCCAGCGAAATAAAATTTTATTTTTTGATCCAGTTTTTTCAAATTGGATTAATTTTATCAAAAAATGCCAATCATAAATGATCTAGAACTTCAGTAGAGCTTTAAATTCATCGAAATTTGGAAGGAATTTCCGAGCGCTCCTCGAATACTATAAAGATCTTATTTTTGACAATTTTTTTGCGCCACAGGCAATTTGTTTTTTAAAAAACGGGAAAACGTCCTTTTTAGGCACTTTTGAACATTTTTTGACAAAAAATCCGTTATTTTCGGTGCGCGCCCCCCTTCAAAATTAGAATATATAGGCGCCAAAAGCGCCTTCATAAAAATTTTGGTTGTTCGGTGATATTGGATATCATAAAATAATACCAAAAGGGACCCTTTGGTTGGTGAGGGGGAAGGGTCCCTGAGGGTAGGCGTCCTCCCGTCATCCTAAATCCACCGTCATCCTAAATCCACCATCGGTGTAGCTTAAATGATGGATGGTGTTTATGTTTATTATGATGTCTAAATTAGTTCATGTATCATCTTCTGGTTCCCAACGCTCGTATCATGTTTAATTGTTCATATCATGTTGCTGACGTGATCACGACCAGATGAAAAAGCATGATTATGAGGATGTGATCCATATCATGCGCTTTTTTGCCTCAGCTGAATACATGGTTGCTACGGTTATAAAGTTCTGTCAACTTGCAAAGCTTAATAAGTTCTATTCTTTCCTGTTTTAGGATGAAGAAAATCAGAGGTCGTATAGCAGATGGTAGCAAAGGACCCTATGACTCATACGAAGCTAATTTTGTGCTGGGCAATCAGTACGACGAAGACGAGGATTTGAGCTCGAGTGCGGGAATGGTGAAGAGTTTCAGAGTGAATTCAGAGTCGAATAGCCAGCTGAATGATATTCGTGGATCAGTGATAAGTATCAATTCCGTAACCAGTGAAGTGTTCAAAGAAGGAGCCACTATGAGGATGCAATATGGAGATGATGGGGCTGAGCTGGGCGGAGGAGAGTCCAATGAAAATGACGGTACTTCTACTCCCTGTTTTGGAGACAATTCTGGTAAGCATGATGGCTGTAAATATTTCAAGGTCGTTTTAGGCGCTAATTTTAAAAAATGTCGTTTTGGTTTACTATTTTAGAGAAATTTTTAGAAAAAAATTTGTTTACATATTTTTTCGTCATAACTATCAACTAACTGGCAAAACTCAATTTCGATGAGCTTTCAGAGTTCTCGTGTTTTCGGACTTAGAAGTTGATCGGACCATAAAACTAACACGGTCCCTATCTAAATGTATGCTTCTAAAATGTTTTTTTTTGCTTCGGTGAAGGTAAAGCATCAAATAAATTAGGGCAATTGAGGCAGGTTATTTATTTTTGAGAAAAAAGTCTCGAAAACGATGAAGAGGCGTCCATTGATTTATTTAATTGCTAAATTTGCTCAGAGGTAGCGAGATTTTGATCCCTCTGTCACACTTGTACCAGTGTTTTGAGCATTTTCATAAGATTTTTAAAGATATGCATTGACTGGCTTTTTTCGCTCTTTTAATTTATTAATAATTCGTGAAATGGTTTTAACCATGCTGTATGTTATGTTCTTTTTTGATTCTTTTTCAATAGTGATCTTTGAATTGCTAAATTTGAGAAACTGTATAAATTTCCACAGCGTAAGCGTCCGTGTCCATAAACCAAATACTCTCCATAATTTGCCGATGTGACCGAGAGCGTTACCATTATAGTAAAATCAGTGGTGTGCGCAACAAGGTTTCTAGGGGGGAGGAAAACAATTGTCGACTTTTTATGCAGGTTGGCCAATTTAATTTCAACAATGAATACAGAAATTTAAAAAAGTGCAATTCTGATTGCTTAAAAAAATAAGACTTCAAAATTGAGTTTGAGCAACCATTGAGTTACTAAATGATGCCATATTGTTTTGCTTGTATATTTTTGAGTCTTTCCTTTTCATTTTACCGTCCAAATTTGGTCTAGCGGGAGTCTTTTTAACCTAACTAGATGTAGATATAACGATATAAAGGAATGAATATAACGATATAAAGATTTGATGTTAACTAAAGTCAGCACAGCATGCTAATTCCTGCCGGTTGTATTGTCAACAAAGGCTCTAATCTGAGCAAACAAGTCGAGTTGAACCACAGCGTCTTTAATATAGAAACAAATGCAGCAATAAACATTGAAAAGTTGACGTTTTAAGCAACATATGAACATAAATAAGTTCATATGTTTTCAAGGGACTTTTTTTTATTTGAAAAAATTATCGCTATTTGATCATTCAAATTATCACAGCAGCAATATGTCGGAAACTGTTTGAGCTAAAAACAGAAAAGAGTGAATGAGGAAACAGTAATATAATTCTGGTGGCTGTAATGCAAGTTAGCAATTGCTATTTACGCGAAGTAATCATTTTTCATCTGAGATGTTGTATCTGTTCGGTTGAACATACTTACCTGGCGCCGACCGTCCTCTGATCAAGCAGAGAGGTGGTCCAGGGCGAGGCCTCTGCATTGCACTGCGCGGAGGTTGACCCTTGCGATTTCTCCAAGTGAGAAACTCGGACGCACAATTTATTAGTGTAGGGACTGCGTACGCGCTATCCCTGATAATCATGAACTGATTCTTTCGATCTTAACACTTGACCTGTGAGTTTTTACTAGCATGATTGTTTTGCAGGAACCCCTCAACGTCAACACTCGCCACCACCACAGCGCTTCAAAAAGACTTCAATTTTCCAATCAGAGGTGAAGCAAGCCACTAGTCCTGCTTACAATGATGGCGGAGGAAGACCGACTAGTATGGATCTGTCAATGACAGTCTCAATGAACGATGTGAACCGAGTGAGTGTTGACCAATCACTCAGTGGCGACGACAGAGAACGCACTGTGTCGGTGCAGTCCTTCGAGGCTAACAACGAGCCTCTGTTCCATGAGTTCCAGAATATGAATCAGAACTTGACGCCATCTGCCGCCCATTCCTCCTCCTCCCAAGATATTCTGAGTGAGTCTATCTGGCTTTGACTGGTTGTGAGTCTAACTATCTGGCATCTCATCTCTTCAACGGTCCCCCCACTCACCCACCCCCTCTAATGGAAAGGAAAAATTAATTACTAGGTTCAATCGTCGAGTGTGCTTAACAGTTGATTTTATCCTAGATTAAGAATCATTACTAGGTGCCATGGGTTAGACCATTGAAGAAGTCACCTAGACAAGCAGAGACTGTGTTTAACAAGATGATTCTGTGATCTTTTTTGAGCATG